CGTTTTGCATAGTGTTCCCCATAGCGTAAGATATTACGCAGTACGAAAGTACCTCATAAGAGAACGTACTCGGTTACTAACGTAACCTCGGTTCTCTCTAGAGAGGGAACGAGTACTGCGTATCTTGCCGTGCATACACAGCTCTGGTTCGCTTCGGCGATGAAAACCAGTGTACCAGCCTAATCAAGCTATATTTATAGGGCGAGACCACGCCCTTTCTGGCGGGACGTGACGAAATGGGCGCGAATTTCCCCCATTGGATGTGGTGTCACGTAGCGCCTCTCTTGATAGGCTGCTGCTGTTGCCGCAGGGCAGCCAATAGGTGCGCAAGCCGCCTTGCCTATGTCTGCATGCTGCTGCACAGCGTTTTACATTAATACAAAATTAAGGATAATTTTTTGGCTTCAATATCTCGTGGAAAAGAGGTTTTCCCCGTAGCGTAAGATATTACGCAGTACTCGTTCCCTCTCTAGAGAGAACCGAGGTTACGTTAGTAACCGAGTACGTTAATCAGCGATAATGTTGCAATTTTAAAATCACCACTCAACAAAATGCATTGAAAAACATCCAAATGAAGGTAAAGAGTTGAGATGTGATACATATGTAACATACATATGTGACCTACATATGATAAGAGTGAGAAAATGTGCATCAGATCCGCTCCATGTGTGGCAGGTCTTAAAGTGAGAGCAGCCTAATAAACCTGCTGCAGTCTGTCATTAAGGATAATCAAAGAACAAAAGAAAAAGAGAAAATCACTCACTGCTCTTGACTGAACAACATGTGTAGCTTTAATAAGGATGAATCTATATTTAATTGATACTTTATGCAGTGAAAACTGAAGTGTTTGATAACTTTAATACATTTCTGTTAGACCTACTTGAAAATCTTAAAGCACTGTTTACAAGGTTATATGGGTCAAAAGCAATGGAAACAAAAACTTTTTTGTGCATTTTTGACTGACGGTCTGACTGGGCCAATAGAAAAAAAATCGAGCCCTTATCCTGTATATTGAAGGACACATGTAAATGTGACATTTATTTTAATGGGTTTATGTAAAGATTGTTTTAAGGTCAGTTAAATAAAAAGATGTTATATTTTTTAAAGCTTTATAAATGTTACAATTAATAGCTATACTGTATGGTAATGTCAGGTACTGTAGGTACGATTAATACCAATTAATTTCAGAAAAATGTGCGATTTATTTGGGGGTTTTTATCGATTGAACGCACTAATATATACAGTACTGTGCAAAAGTCTTAGGCACTTTAGTATTTTCACCCCCCAAAAATTAATTTAAGCCAGTTATTTATATCTTTTGCTGTAGTGTGTCAGTAGGAAATATCCATTTACATTTCTAAACATTCCTTTTGCCATTAATAATCCAGTGAGATTTTTATATGCACAAGGAGTCTGACAACAGCCGGTGCTCCACACGGAGATCTGATCTCACCATCATCAAGTCCATCTGTGATTACATAAATGCAACTTTTAATGACTTCTGCAGTCTCAAATTTATTCAACCCCCTGAATAGAATCCCTCACAACAACACAAATCTGCAAAAAAGGTGTTGTCCCAAGCACACCTGATGCAATTAATCAAGGGCTTCATTAGTTGCACGAGGTGTGCTTGAGCTAGAACACATGAAATATCTGAACTGGCTAGGTTTGTTGAGTGTCACGTTTGATTGCATGTTAGAAATATGTGCTAAGTCAAAAGAATGGTACAAAAAGTTAGAGAAAATATCATCGCCTTCAAAAACAAGGAACAGGATACAAAAAAATAGCAAAGGCACTAAATGTTCCTAGAGACACCGTTGGAAGCATAGTTTGCAAGTTCAAAGTTAAAGTAACAGTGATTACACTACCTAGACAGGGCAGAAAAAGGAAGCAATCAACGACTGCAACCAGATTTCTGAGAAGGCAAGTTTAAGAAAAACCCTTAAGTGAAAAAAGTGCTGCAAAAGATCTGTAGCAAGACTTGGTGGCAACTGGCACTGAGGTTTCAGCTTGCACAGTAGGGCCCGTACTAAACTCATGTGGTACACCACTACTAACCCAAAAGCACAAGAAGCACCAAAAGCACAACTGTGGAGCGATGAAACAAAACTGGAACTTTTCGGCACTATGGATCAGAGGTATGTCTGGAGGAAGAAGAATGAAGCATATGCTGAAAGGAACGTGTGGGAGGAAAGATGGATTTATTAAAGTATCAGGAAATCCTAGTGAGGAAGATGAAGCTTGGGCGTCATTGGACCTTCCAACAGGAAAATGATCCCAAGCATACCTCAAATTCCACCAAGGCTTGGTTGCAGAAGAAGTCCTGGAAGATTCAACAGTGGCTTCACAGTCACCTGACTTGAACCCATAGACAATATCTGGTGTGATTTGAAGAAGACGGTTGCAGTACACAAACCCAAGAATATTACAAAAAAATATTCTAATATTCAGAATTACTGAATATTACTGGGTAATATTCCTCATGAGGAATGGGCTAAGATTCCTCAGAAACGCTGCCAGAAGCTGGTGTCTGGTTAAACAACTCGTTTGCAGCAGGTCATAACAGCATAAGGATGTTCTACTAAGTAATAAAGATGCTTGCCATTAAGGTGTTGAATAATTTTGAGACTGCAGAAGTCATTCAAAGTTTGATTTGTTCATTGCAAACAGCTGAAAGTCCGTACATTTTGCCAATAAACCTGATTTGCAATGGGGGTTGAATAATTTAATTTCAACTGTATATATAGGCCTATGCAACGACAAAGTCAAGTCAAGTCAAGTCACCTTCATTTCAGGGGCGGACTGGCCATCTGGGTGATCTGGAGTATCACAGAACGGCCGGTACTCCATGACGGCCGGCGGGCCGGCCCACCACCCGCCACACACGCAGTCATAACCTGTTTTTTCCCCCCACTAATCTGTTTCACACTCCAGTACTGTAGGTGGCAGCAATGCACCTTTAAGTTGGATGCCAGCGCGGAGCATTATCAAGGGGGTAATCCATCGACCGGAAGTTGAAGCCGGCCGGGTGCCGCCATGTTGTAGCAGAACTTCACTTGCGTTAGCATTTCCATTGACTCCCATTCATTTTGGCGTCACTTTGACAGCGAATAACTTTACATCTGAGGCGTTTAAAGACTCCATTTGTCCATTATTTATTTCTAAAGAAACACGACAATGTATAAAGGGCTCCATTACCTTCTATGTTACATTATGGCCCCGTAGAAACAGATTTAGTAAAAATAGGCTAACGATTGCGTCATAACCACTCGCCTCTCTGTCGCGCTGTACAGAAATTACCGTACAGACAGGAGGAGAAGCTCGCAGGCAATCGGGGGGAGGTCCCGTCAAGGGAGAAGCCCATAGATAATGAGTCCATAAAAGCAACGCAGTACTTACTCCTGCTCACTCACGCCAAAGAACTCTTTGCTCAAGTTCCCCGTCTCTGCAAGATTAACGTTGGCAATTTTCACGCACAGCTACTAGAAGATTAACGTCTGTCAGACAGGTTGCTCACGTCATCAAGCTTAGTTTGAGTCGGTTTGAGTCTGCGCGTCAGGAACGGAAGTGCTCAGAAATCGCTAAAAATGGGCTTCAACTGTCTCAACTGAGTTCCAATGAGATGGCTCTGTCCATTTCTTATACTGTCTATGAGCATTATCAGCTCGGCCCAAAAAAACTGCGATCGCGGCCGAAGCAGCTGTGCGGACTGATCTCGATCACGCGGACATTATTACACAGAGTTGCGCGATCCACTGAGAAGCATTTCAATTCAGCGCAGAATTCTCTATCTCTATTATAAACCCACAGATGGCTGTGATTTAAGCTAGTTAAAAGCCAGATTAAACAGCGCTGATATTCTCAACATCTTGACGCAAAAAAACAGGTGAAACATTGTTCCAAGAACAAACCAGTTAGAAGACATTTCACTCCACAACTTATGAATTAACTGTAACTTAGTAAAACAAACTTTTTGGGCAGAAATGTGCCTGTATTCATATTAAAAATGCTGTTATATTAATAGTCATGTAGGCCTATAAATGTAGGCTATTAAATGTAATGCAGTAATGTTTTTGTTTAGAATTTATGGCAGTTTATTTATTTATTTTGCATTAAATATTTATACTAAATGTTTATGCTACAATAGGTTTTTAGAGAATAATATATATATATATATATATATATATATATATATATATATATATATATATTTTACAAATTTTTCACCAATTGTTGAACCAGAATATCAAGATATTTTATTATTTCGCATATGATGGTGAAAAATAAAAAAGTTAAAGTTAAAAGTAAAGGTAAAGGTAAAGGTAAGGTAAAAAAACACCACCATGTTATATGTATAATAAATATTTTTGAGTATAGCCCTTCTAGATTATTTTATCCCTTGAGGTAGCCCTCACACACAAAAAGGTTGGAGACCCCTGGTATATAGTAACTAAATGTTTTATAATTACAAGTTTGTGTAATTAGGGTTTCTGTAGCCAGTGACATTTCATTATTTGTATTTTATTTTCAATGCAGATATAATGGCATTGTACATTTTTTTGTTTTTATTTGAAGACTGAGGCTTCATTAATAAACAAAACCCCAATTGTCATCATTGTTTTTGAGATATTACTTGCTGTGAATACCTTGTCTGATATAGGTTACAGTATTGTGGCATAGTATCAGGACATCCTAGTGGCTAGGGGCGAATGGCTGGATGATGGGCCTATTTGGGAGAAAGTCCAGGGCTGTTTTTTAGCCCCAGTCCGTCCCTGCTTCATTTATATAGCACTTTTAACAATATGGACTGTTTCAAAGCAGCTTTACAGTGATAATAGGAAATTAAAGTAACAGAGATTGTTTTGGCTTTACAGCAGCTCTAGAATAAAGTTATTTTTGATCCATTCACTTCCATTGCAAAGATCATTAGTTATTAACTTAGGGGCCGCTAACACGACACCGTTCTAACAAAAGCAAAAACACATGAAGCTTTGCTTGACCTTCTGAGTGTCAATATCTTGCCGGATGTTGCCCATGTCTTTATTGGTCTTCTCTCGCTGTTTTTCAGCCTCGTGTAGTTGTTTGTCCACCTCTTGTAGCTCAGTTTCTTTTTGCTAAATAAGAAAAAGTAAAAAAAGAACATAAATGGGAAAAAATACTTGCATTTATTAGGAAACGAGAGCTAAGAGATTGGACATGATTTTTGTCCTACCTCTTTGTAGCTGTCTTTGCCCTCTTCAATGTACTTGGTGATCTCTCTTTCAAGGAGGGTCAAGTTTTTAACTTTTTCCTTGATTGAATTTATCTAAAAGAAAGTATAAAGCTTTAGTCAACTCTGATGATAAGCAATGACTTTGTCTTGCATTAAAGTAAAAATCCACAACATTTCATGTAATACATTGTGGTGAATAATTTCACAGTAAACATAAATTATAAGTCACATAAAACCTAAAACACAAATGCAAAAACAAATTAACCGACACCTTTTCTTGCCCTTCTTCCTGTTTCTGCATCCTGCGCTTTGCAATGTCCTGTTTCTCCAGCTGGAGCTTCTCCAGAGTTGCAGCTAGAGGAGACATCTGCTCCTTTGCATCCTAATAAACACAAATTATGACACAACAGTAAAAATATGATTACATCATCATTCAAAAGTCTGGGGTCTGTAAGATTTTATGTTTTTGAAAGAATTATCTCATGCTCACCACAGCTGCATTTATTTGATCAAAAATACAGTAAAAAAAAAAAACTGTTGTGAAATACTGCAGTGAAGTTACTCCTGTGATGGCAAAGCTGAATTTTCAGCAGCCATTATACTATTATACTAATATGTATATTACTGTAATTTTTTTTTAAAGTTTGATGCATTCTTACTGAATAAATACATATGATATTCCCTTTCATGGGTTAATTTAACGCTGAGACAGGAGCTGAAGCAATGGGAACAGTAAACCACAGCACTACACTACGAGGTAACTGCTGGTTTATCAGTCCGTGACCGTGACTGCACAAACATAAAACACTGACAAACATGAATGATTGACACCCCGCTCAAGCAAAAAAACAAACAAACAAACAAACTGGGAACAGGTCAATATCAAGATTATAAAAGCTGATAAAAGTGTCCAGAGGTTAAGATAACCCACACGCCCATAAGCTCATAAGCTTTACAAATAGCATTTCTCACCCAATGCAACATCAGCTGCTCAGACTTACCCCATTGGTTTGTATGGTCAACGTAAACCTTTAACTCTCTGGGGTCGACAAACGCACCGTTGCGTTCTGTAACTGTTGGATTTTTTCACATAGCAGCAAAATTGACTTAAAATACTCCAAACTGGGCAAAGCCTATGCAACCTTTTACATTCTCCCAAGACTCAAAGGGTGGAAAAGAAAAGGGCAACATAATAACCTGGGAACGAAATTAAGTTGATGCAACCTTGGGTATATTTTCTAACCTAGGTCATTACAAGACTGTACCAGACCAGACCATCCATACAAGGGTTCATGGCCAGGCCTGTAATTCTCTCATTCTCTTCTCAGAGCCAATAACAACACTGTCTTAAGTGTCAGACTCTTCTCTAAAGCTGATTCCATTGGCTCAAATGTACGGTGCAAATAGAAAAAAAACACATGCAAATAGAAAAAAACGCGTGCAAATAGAAAACACAACACGTGTGCTCCAAATACAGAAACGCGCTGCAAATAACACAGACCACAACGGAAATGTTTCCAGGGGAACCAAATAAGTGACGAACCCAACTGGGACGTGCTTATTGCTTGTGAGCTTCCCTATGCCCCTACTCCCCTCGAAGGGCAGACGGCAGAGCCCTTAAAGTGGGACTTTGGAGGGAGCAGGACACTAGTGTGCTGTTATGTAGCCGCGTGGAACGCACTTGATGAAGGAGCAACAAAAGACAACGTAATATCCTCATTATTTTCACCTGGGATGTTCCCATGACAACGCAGCATGGCGTCCATCAGCTGAAGAGCTGTTCTTACCACAGAAATATAACGCTGTTAACATAACGGTTGCAAATACATTTTTATTTTTATTTTTACTTTACAAAAAAAGCTTTTAAAATATGCGTGTATATATCTGTGTCTCAACTTTAAAACTTTGGACCCTACATTACTTAACATTTCTTATGAAACTTTTCTTTATGAAAATTTAAACATAACATGAAAAAATTTGTACAGTGTAACTGATGAAAGATAAATATATTTCTTCTTCTCTATGTTATTTATTTATTTTAGTTTTCTGCTCATTGTTCTTTTCTCATTTGTATTCTGATGACATTGAACATATTGTTAATACATTTCTTAATACATTTTGTATTTTGTATACAAGTTGTATGTCATAAAAATGTAATCTCTGTATGTTTTGCAAAACAAAGAAATAAACACATAAAGTATAATTCTAAGCTGTAAGCACCAGCACGTCCCAGCCGGGTTCGTCACTTATTTGGTTCCCCTGGGAACATTTCCGTTGTGGTCTGTGTTATTTGCAGCGCGTTTCTGTATTTGGTTGTGTTGTGAGTATTTGGAGCTCACGTGTGTTGTGAAACTGATGAAGACGTTTTCTTAATTTGCGGGTGTTTTTTCTATTTGCATGCGTTTTTTTATTTGCATGCGTTTTCTTTTATTTGCATGCGTTTTCTTCAGTTGCAGCGCGTTGAGCTTTCTCGGCCACCGTACAAATGGAGAACGCGTTAAACCTTCCAAAAGATAAATCCAATGAGGGTACAGTGCGGAAATGTCTTAGCTGCCTCAGGCCTTGATAAAGCAGAAAACCAGAGAGTCAACCCACAGGCAGTGAATCGGTACCAAAAGTCAATCTCTGTTCCTCGATTCAATAAGAACACTTGAAGGCACACACCTTTCTGAAGGTTTAGACTCAACTCAAGCCCCTGTAAATCAGAACCAAATCTAAATGATCAAAGTAGTTTAAAACCTACATGCCCTGGAGTCTCAACGAAACCAGAGCGCCTTCCATACATTTTATGAATGACAGGAGAGTCAGGGCCAATTCAGAAAAAACAAAACTGGTAAAATCCAACCTGAGGAAATGCCTGTGCCTCTGGACAATTTGAATACTATACTCATCCTTCAGATAGATTGTAACAAACCAATCTCTGGTTAGAATCTGAGCAACACGTGTACCTTCAACCACCTACATCTCAGAGACAAGTGTTAGAGATAGTGGTGAACTCAGAAGCATCTGAGTTTGTGATTAATATACCCTGATGGAGATCCTAGAGGAAAGGCAAAGGCCTGCGAGGCCGATATGTTCTGGGTGGCCAAGAATCGCTCATGTATCTTGAGCCTGAGGCGGAGTTGGCTCCTACAAGCTCATCCACAGTGCGAGAGACAACATCCAACAACTCACTGCAGGATAAAGAAGAACGCACTTCTTGGACTGCCAACAAACTCAGAATCCGAAGCGGCTGTGATCATTAGCGCATCATAATGATTCTCCAAACCGAAATAGATCACACCACGAGCCTCCAGATCAGGACACAAATCATCATGTGCAAACTCAACCGGAAAAGCTTTCAGCATGCAATTTAGAGAGAGAGAGAAAGAGAGAGTGAGAGAGAGAGAGAAAGAGAAAGAGAAAGTATGACAGAAATTCACAGCCTCCACTCTCCCCTTACTCAACAATCGGATCCCTAAGCTTTAGTTCATGCAGCGCTTCAGCAATGGCACAACTAGTTAGCGGGGAATTTCCAATCATTCTTTCCTCAGAAAAAAACACTTTGATTTTAAAATTCTTGCAGTGCTGACAAGTCCTTAAATGCAGCCCGAGCACTTATCATGCGAGTCCTCGCTCGTAATAAAAAAAGGACACAGAGCCACATATACTTACGAAATGCCATTGTGTTCACCCAGAGGATAATAATCTACTTGTTGAAGGCCACCAAACACGATGAATCCATTCAAATCAGAAGAAACACACTGCGGCCCGGTTTCATAGACAGGGCTTAGATTAAGTCAGGATTAGGCCTTAGTTAATTTAGGACACTCAGGTAGCTTTTATAAACATGCCTTAGAAAAAACATTACTGGTGTGCATCTTGAGACAAAACAATGGCACTGACATATTTAAAGATATATCAGAGCAAGTTGCTTTGAGTTAAAACAGCTCAAACATGCATTTTAGTTTGGAACAAGACTTTAGCCTTGTCTGTGAAACCGGGGGTATATGGCTCAGATTTCTGAAGAAGAGAAATCTAAGGAGTGATGCCATGATCACATCCTTTTAAAGCACTGGTGACACATGCCTTAGTGAAAGGTGCAAGCACAATCAGCCAATGAATTGGTGTGATTCTATACAGGTTTCAGACAATCGTCACACCTGTTTCGATAATGTCAGCTAATGACGGAGTGTCAAGTGAACCTATGAAAGGGAACTTTTCTCAGTATGAATGAAAGGCACATTAAAGTGGAGAGGCGCTGCTCACTCGAATGTCTCGTTGGAGCGTCTGGATTTCAGTGGAGAACTCCACACACTGCTCCTCCAACTGTTGACGCTTCTGCATGTTGCTGGAGATCAGGAGCTTTTCTCCACGAATCTCGTTTACGCTGCTTTTCAAGGCCTGGATCTGCTCCTGCTGGTCCTGGATCAGTTTCCTTTTCAGCTCGATCTTACTGCAGGCTAAACACGAGGACCATCACATGGAGACAGTGATAAACAGGGTCATATACAGGTCCTTCTAAAAAAATTAGCATATTGTGATAAAGTTCATTATTTTCCATAATGTAATGATATAAATTAAACTTTCATATATTTTAGATTCATTGCACACCAACTGAAATATTTCAGGTCTTTTATTGTTTTAATACTGATGATTTTGGCATACAGCTCATGAAAACCCAAAATTCCTGTCTCAAAAAAATTAGCATATTTCATCCGACCAATAAAAGAAGTGTTTTTAATACAAAAAAAAAGTCAACCTTCAAATAATTATGTTCAGTTATGCACTCAATAGTCAATACTTGGTCGGGAATCCTTTTGCAGAAATGACTGCTTCAATGCGGCGTGGCATGGAGGCAATCAGCCTGTGGCACTGCTGAGGTGTTATGGAGGCCCAGGATGCTTCGATAGCGGCCTTAAGCTCATCCAGAGTGTTGGGTCTTGCGTCTCTCAACTTTCTCTTCACAATATCCCACAGATTCTCTATGGGGTTCAGGTCAGGAGAGTTGGCAGGCCAATTGAGCACAGTAATACCATGGTCAGTAAACCATTTACCAGTGGTTTTGGCACTGTGAGCAGGTGCCAGGTCGTGCTGAAAAATTAAATCTTCATCTCCATAAAGCTTTTCAGCAGATGGAAGCATGAAGTGCTCCAAAATCTCCTGATAGCTAGCTGCATTGACCCTGCCCTTGATAAAACACAGTGCACCAACACCAGAGCAGCTGACATGGCACCCCAGACCATCACTGACTGTGGGTACTTGAACACTGGACTTCAGGCATTTTGGCGTTTCCTTCTCCCCAGTCTTCCTCCAGACTCTGGCACCTTGATTTCCGAATGACATGCAAAACTGAGCAACAGTCCAGTGCTGCTTCTCTGTAGCCCAGGTCAGGCGCTTCTGCCGCTGTTTCTGGTTCAAAAGTGGCTTGACCTGGGGAATGCGGCACCTGCAGCCCAATTCCTGCACACGCCTGTGCACGGTGGCTCTGTATGTTTCTACTCCAGACTCAGTCCACTGCTTCCGCAGGTCCCCCAAGGTCTGGAATCGGTCCTTCTCCACAATCTTCCTCAGGGTCCGGTCACCTCTTCTCGTTGTGCAGCGTTTTTTGCCACACTTTTTCCTTTCCACAGACTTCCCACTGAGGTGCCTTGATACAGCACTCTGGGAACAGCCTATTTGTTCAGAAATTTCTTTCTGTCTCACCCTCTTGCTTGAGGGTGTCAATGATGGCCTTCTGGACAGCAGTCAGGTCGGCAGTCTTACCCATGATTGCGGTTTTGAGTAATGAAACGGGCTGGGAGTTTTTAAAAGCCTCAGGAATCTTTTGCAGGTGTTTAGAGTTAATTAGTTGATTCAGATGATTAGGTTAATAGCTCGTTTAGGGACCTTTTTCATGATATGCTAATTTTTTGAGACAGGAATTTTGGGTTTTCATGAGCTGTATGCCAAAATCATCAGTATTAAAACAACAAAAGACCTGAAATATTTCAGTTGGTGTGCAATGAATCTAAAATATATGAAAGTTTAATTTTTATCATTACATTATGGAAAATAATGAACTTTATCACAATATGCTATTTTTTTTGAGAAGGACCTGTACAGTAGATGTTAGTACTTATTTGACCAGTATGTGGGTATTTGACATAAAATACTTTATGTTGACATTTGCTGTGGTGTGACATGCTACATCTAAAATGAATTTCAATAGCATTTTGCTAATACTTCCTTTATATTAACAATACATGCAGTTTCTTTTATATTACATTATTATTAGGGGTGTGCCGGTTTCAGAATTGGTGATGACGGTTATGAAGTGAGTCAAATGTGACAGTTCGTAACATAACCGTCGTCGGGGGAGGGGGCGGGGCTTTGCGAAAACGAGCAGACACTGATTAGCTACTTGCTCTACGTTTATGTAAAATTTAAATTTAAATTTCTTGAATTGTTCTGTTTAAAAGTAGACATGTCTGTGACTGTGAGGCAAGTAGGCTACCTTATATGCTGAGTTTCGGTTCATTTATGAGACGAGCTCCAGTTCACGCGCCGGCGCCTCCGTTTCGTGATTATCTATCGTCTGCTTATATTTACTTCTTATTTATTAAATCCAGGCAATTGGTTGATGAAACATTGATTAAAATTAAGATACAATTAATACAAAACGAAATTCACTTTAAAGAAAGGTTTTGTGCTTTCTGTTTGATGTCTCTGTGAAAAGTTTTAATGCTTTTCAGAGCGGTCACGTCCGTAACGGAGAACTGTCACGTCCGAAACATTGTTTTTTCCTCATAAATGCGAACACTAAAAATAAAATGAATATTTTATGTTCTGTGGAGACTACAGTTAGGCTACTCATAATTTGTATTCTGAATACGTAACAGCGGTACATGTATTCCGTTACTCCCCAACACTGATATTAGTAGCCTATATAACCTTATCTGCAAGACATTTTAATAACACGGTTTTGGCGGTTATAGAGTTCTAATGATGGTGTTCAACTATAACCGTCGGTCTCACGGTTATATAATAACCGTCACACCCCTAATTATTATATTACATTAATGCATGCAGACTTAAAAATAAATTGAGGACATTTGATTATTTATCATGAAATCAACAGCAAATAATTACTTAAAACATTAAGGCCTAGATTAAGCCAGAATTAGGCCTTAGATAAATTAGGACATTTAAGTAGCTTTTATAACCATGCCTTAGAAAAAAACATTACTGGTGTGAATCTTGAGGAAAAAAACAATTGCACAGATTTATATATATATATATAAGGTATGTCAGTACAAGTTACTACCAGTTAAATCAGCTCAAACATGAGTTTTAGTCTGTGACTAGTAGAGATGCACCGATTGATCGGCTGGTGACCAGAATTGGCCGATTTTCACGTGATCGGCGACCGGCCGGTCAGTCTGACATATGCCGATTTTATGCCGGTCAAATGCACTCGGGCGCCGCATGATTAACATCGCGCAACATCAGCATCACACGTGCACACGGAACGCACATGTAGGAAACCTCGTGAATTACGGCCGTTTCACACCGCAAACGTGAGCAGCGCGTATTATTTCCGGCGTGCATGTTAATCAATGAGTGCATTCAGCAGGAGAAGCGGTGAAGCGCGGGTTTCGGCGCAGAGTCTATTTTTGCTGCACTGATCACGCTCAATTAAAGAGAAAGCACACTTTTGATGGACAAAATAAATATGATTTCACACAAAAGTGCATGTCTGGTGTGTTTTAACAAGAACTGGAGTATATGTCTGAAAAGAAAATGAATTTTCTTTTTGAAATGAACACATTATTTTTGTTGGATATTGGATGTGAAAAGAAGGAAATGGTTCTTCCATAACACTGCACTTTAGATGTGTGTGAATTTCCCACACCAGGAGTCATTTATATAGTCCTATTTTATAGCGATTACTGTTAAAAAATGTTCTATGGAAAATGTTCTACTAAAGAAAAGAGAGAAAATAAATATTTGTGTGTGCTCTAAAGTGGTTAGAAAAAATGAAATCGGAATCGGCTAAAATCGGTATCGGCAGGTCAAACTCTGAAAAATCGGAAATCGGAATCGGCCTAGAAAATTGTAATCGGTGCATCTCTAGTGACTAGACTTAAACCGGGCATTTTGGTGGGTTGCACCATTAAGGTTTAAATTAAGCAAAGTTTAGAGCTAATCAATGATTTGTTGATCTGGGTTTTATTTATAATCGAGTTGTGTTGCACCACTCATTTTTACACAGATTAACAAATCAGGAATTCAAATTCTTACCTATGATTAAAACCTTCATCTGTGATTAATTTTCTCTGCCATGATGTATTCGCCATTGTAATTAAACAGCAACAATGTTAATATTCCATTTCCTTTTTTATTGACTACCAGAAACTCCCTCTCTGACATAAGTATCTCTTGCCGATAAAGGAAATAAACTTGTAAAATGTCACCTATCTTTATAAACTACTGTGCAGAGAGACAGATAGAATAAAGCAGGCAATGAAAACATTGCGGCAATGCATCGGTTACAGGTTTCATAAGCCTAGAAATATATTTATAGTCAATTAATGGAATAATATGGCAGCATAACTTATGAAAAAAGATCTGAGATAGGAAAAAACAACTGGCATGATTCGTGGAGTGACTACCTTTGCTCGTGACAGTGCAGTGACAGCGATCACTAGGGCTCACCTCATCAGAGCTGCCGTTAGATTATATGAACATATATTCTTTCTCATATATTCTCTATTCTTTGTCCGAGGTGCACCAAGATCAGTGAGGGATCCAGTTAAGTGGACCCCAGAGTCGGAAGCAGCTGACGGGCAACAATGACCCTCACACTCTATCCGCTCCATATTTTCATTTTTATTTGTAATAAACATCTCACAAAGACCTGACGCCACACCTACTGTTCCTTTTTTTGTTTAGTCAGCCACATATTTTAATTTTAGGTGCATTTTTAAGTTGGCTTGTGAGAGCCAACTTACTGATGTTGTACTTAAACTTAATTAAGTTGGCTTGTGAGAGCCAACTTACTGATGTTGTACTTAAACTTAATATTATTATTAGTGGTGCTTGCCTATGGCGAAGCAACACTATTGTTATCTCACATACTTATTAGTGGTGCTTGCCTATGGCGAAGCAACACTATTGTTATCTCACATACTTATTATTAGTGGTGCTTGCCTATGGCGAAGCAACACTATTGTTATCTCACATACTTATTAGTGGTGCTTGCCAAAGGCAAAGCAACACTAGTGTTATTGTGCATACTTATTATTAGTGGTGCTTGCTGAAAGCAAGGCAACACTATTACTATTGCTTTTTCAAAAAGTTTGACGCGCTACTCCTCCCGCAGCTTTTGTCACAGACCCACGAATGAGGCATGAAAACGTGCGGCCTATTGAGGAGAGGTGTGCTATGACTTTTAAAAGCGATCGGGGGTACGATGTTCGCC